CAGTTGATGGAAGCGAGTCACCTGGAGATTCGCCTAGGCACTCTCGATCCTAACTGATTCTTAAGGTTGCAAGCAAATCTTTCGCTCCGTTCTATTTCGAAACTCCGGATGAATTCGAATGGTGGACGATCTTATCAGTATGTGCCCTTCCTCCAAATCTACTGATACAGAGCTTATGACTAAATGCGTTAGTCGGCAACGTATCGCGAGCAGCTTTTCGTCGTATGAGGATCGCGGTTTTCATATCCGGTGATGCCTGCCACACTCACTCCCAAAAGCAGGTGAGTGCAGGAAACACGGTCTGCCTAGCAATTGCACTGACGTCATACACTAAGGCCAAGGCATGAACGCGAGCATGAATGACACGCACAATCTCGGTCCGTTTGATCTATTACCCATGCAACTCAGTGCTCACCAGCACGACAGCTTGGAAGCTTGTCTACGTCCTCCGCGGCTGGCCGTTTGTCCCTGTTGAAGACAGTACGCACTCCCATCTCCATCTCCGTGCTTCGCCCTCATGATCAGTACGAATTCGAAAGAAGATCATACGCTCAGGACCTCATCAATTCAATCTTCGAATCCAATTTGCTCAGCTCTTCTCTGGCAAGCCGCGCACGGAGGAAAACCAAGACGGTGTCTCCCACGAAGAATTTCTCAAGATTTTCCAGAAATTTGGCGGATTTACGAGTGGTATCGGAATTCATTACGGCGGATCGACGATTGTGGACGTTACCAGACAGGAATGTGCTAAGAACGTCGTGGTTGGCCAACGTATGCCTCCGCAGATGTTGCTTCGAGCAGCGGATTCCAGACCAGTACAGCTGCAGGACATGCTGCCGTCCGACACTCTATTCAAGACCATAGTATTCGGGGGAGACGGAGAACTTTTAGACAAGGTCGCCCCCCAACTTGAAGCTCTCTTTAATCGATACCGCGAGAGAGTCGACATGATGTCAATTCTATCGTCTTCCGCACCCGCTGGTTTACATTCATGGATCTGCCCGCTGTTCTCAGACCCCATTGGACCAAGTGCGTGCTCATCTGTAGCTCGAGACATCTAGCCGACTGGACACAGGGTCTTCATCGACAGGCCGGACTTGCGGGGCACGCAGGGCGGCACTGTCTACTCCGAATTTGGCATAGATCCCATCGCGGGGGCTATTGTTTGTGTTCGACCGGACGGTTACGTGGGCTTGGTCGCTCCGCTGCAAGACGCGGTTGCTCTGGAAAGCTTTTTTGGCGCATTTATGTCGTAGTAATGTATGGCCCCAAAGTAATAGAACAGACACCGCAAAGTCTATTTCGCCTTCATAGCTTCCCGTGTCGCGATAGCTTCTGATGACAACCGTTGCAGGCGCAAAGCCATGTCTACGGTCATTACCAAAGGAACCAGCAGGAAGGGCACGTAGCTCGAGAGAAGCATCGTCCGCTGTTCGAAGGTAAGAGTGGTGACGCCAGCTGCGAGAGCTGCCGCCGAGGGGCCTGGAGTCGCCAGGATTGTCGTGACACAGGGCCAAACAGTCGTTGTGGTCGAGGCCGCGTAGACAAGCATGAGCACGCAGTTGTTCTTAGAATCTGGTTTCGAACTATCATTACAGGAGAAAGGGAACGAAGGCTGTTGGCGCACCGTTCCAGAGGCTCCTTGCAGCGATGAAGAATGTCGGGAATTGAAACGTTCTGTGGCAAGAGTAAGATGAATACGCCGCGACACTTTGTAGCCACTTACACTTCGAGAAAGATGAAGCTCTTGAACCAGACCAATGATTCGGAACCAAACATTACTTTCATGAGAGGGTCACCGGAGGTCTTGATGTACCACTCTGCGAATTGACGAACTGGACCAGGAACGAGGGCTGAGGGGTATAAGGGTTGAAAATCCATGAATAGTGACGCGAATATGTGTGTCTAGTAGCCGCTGATGAGCTGTGCTGCAAGTTTTGGGATCAACATACCACAAAGAAAGCGAAGTACACTAGGTCAAGAGGACGCGACGTGAGTGGTTTACGAGCCATTGGCGCAAGTTCTGTTCGATCTCGGAGCTGTAACGTTCTGTCCGTTGTTGAGTCAATCGGCGTGGTGCCAAATCTTCGTCCCGATTCAACTGAGGAAGAGGAGAGAAACACTGCCACTGATTGACAGCTGTCTCTCGTTCTCACTGGCAAATTACTTGCATACCTGCCATAAATCTGTCATGCACCTGGACCAGCTTCCGACCGAAATCTGCATCCACATATTTACGTTCGCTTGTACGGACACAGGAACCACTGGCCGCGCGCTCAGCCGCGTCTCGAAATACGTTCGCGCGGCCTCGGAGCTTGTCAAACTGCAGACGATCGCCATCTTCGGTCATGAACAGATGAGAGCTTTTGCGAGGTTGCTGGCTGCCACTCCTGCCCATCTACGCGGTACCAGGTCTCTCTTCATCGGTTATGACCACGGTGGAGACTTGCAACGCTACCATGCATTTTGGGCGCCATGGGAGAAGCTGTCCCAAAGGCGCTCTTGGTTGCAGATGATGTCAGTGAATGAAGAGCGCAGGATCCAGATCCGGACACTGACGATGGAGATGGACGAAATGCGGCGCGTTATCAACCAAAACTTTGAAACCTACTGTACGGAAGGCGCGGCCGCTCTGATGAGCATCCTTCGGGATGTGGCGCCTCATCTGCAGGTGCTGTGCCTAGATGTCGACCAATTCATCGTGAAGACGATCGCTGAATCCATCGCTCTTCCTCGGCTCGTGCACCTCACGACGCGTTGCGGATTCCCTCTCGACGCAGACCACAGTGCACCGCCTCTCCTCCAACCGTGTCCCACTCTCCGTCGGCTGCACATCGTGGAGTACCAGGACCAGTGGTATTCGATGCGGGATTTCCTGGAACAGGGCCGCGGTATAAGCTGGATTGCGCCTGCTCTGTCGCATCTTCAATTCTCCGGCGTAGGCGAAAGTGAAACTTTGCCAGGCTTGGATGTTGCCCTCGGTCTCAAAACACAGGTTCTTCCTGTGGCCATTTACGGCCCATCCCCGACGCGGCATGTCATCCCTTTGCTACCTTCGAGCGTTGAGCAAGTGGCTATCAGACCCGCTGGTGAAGATAAAGCTGATGGACTCTTGCGGACAACATTGGAGGGCTTGAAAGATCCTCGCGTTGTTCTTCTGAGCCCAGAAAAACAACCTATCGTGAATGCAGTTTTACGAGATTGGTCAGAACTGACTTCGACGTTGGGTCCAATTTAGGGGTATGTACAGGTAGTCACGTAGCGCAGTACGCACACACGTAATTATTTCTGTGGAACGCGAGAATATCCCACCCTCGTGTTGTTTGGGCGCTTATTTTACACTCCTTAAACAGCATGTCTTGAGCTCTAACTATGACCATGACCTTCGACAGTGCTCCTGCCCTTTCTCCTGCACTCAAAGGACCCTTGGACGACATCCTCTCGGGTGGAGGGAGGATCGTCTCGCACGCAGGTGTCAGTCAGTACGGCTGGGCTGGGCCATCGGCGTGTGGCTTGGCGAGCATGAACTTTGCAAGGGTCGTCTTCCAGCGAGCCGAGCTGGGTCTCAGAGATCGGGGACTGCTTGACGATATCGTATCCCGCAAGACCGTCGAGGTTAGTGGTGATCGCGGTTCGAAAGCAGATTGATGGTGACGGCCTGGTTCGCTGAACCCGCGTTTCGTTGCAGGAAGCCATCGGCGTCTGTAAACGATGGCCCAGCAACCGTCATCTCGAGGTCGAAGAGATATACAAGGTACTGAATCAGATAATTGTTTCCTTTTTGCTGATCTCAATTGCGATTGTCTGGGTCAGGTTGCTTTGTTCGACCGAGCCTTGCTACTGTTACATGAAGCCTCGATCTATTCCCAACCCAACTTGGTCCAATTGAGAGACGTTCTCGTGTAAGTTCCGAAGCTTCTTCAGACTGGGTCCGTCCTGATACGCTCTCTCGTAGACGATTGGAATCCATCCCGAGCGAGTATGCCGCGGTGGTAATTACGCGCCCACCTGAAATCATTACCTGCGTCAAATTACCTCTGCGACTGCCCTCGGGTCCTCCGCGTTGCGTATTCATGATATTCGACTCTCATCCTCGACCCGACTATCGTGATGGCGCAGGACTTTGCATAAGCACGTCTATCGACGTCGCGGCGGCCCGTCTGGACAAAATTCTCGCCGTCGATGATCGCCTCTTTGCAGACGCGTAGGTGCTTGCTTTGCTCTTGTAAACTACGCACTAAGCTTGCGAGTAAGAACTCTGCAGTGGCAGACTCAGCTGCTGGGCCATTTCTCCGGCCACTTCTTCATGCCGAAGGGTCGGACACCGAACAGCGTGGAGGAATTGACTGATGCAGTCATGGAGTCAAGTCTCGCGTCGCTCGGACTTCGAGCGGAGGTGGAAGAGCTCAAATCCAGAAACAGCACTCTGCGACAGGAGAAAGAGAGTTTGGAGGGCCAGCTCGAGAAATTGAAGGACAAGTATCAAGCACTGAAGCGCAGGCGGGAGTCTCCCAGCGCTCATTCGCCGTCAGCTTCACGTTCACAATCATCATCCCAATCGCCCGGGCAGTCAGATGCACAATGCCATTCACCTGCGAGAAGCAAGTCCTTACCTGTTACTCCAGATCGAGGAGATGGCAAGAATATGGGCGCATCGACATCGCTAGCTCCCACTGCACTGGACTTCTTCCGGAGCCCTTTGCGGATCTCCAAGGCCTGCACGATCGAACTTGACCCTCCCAATGATAAGACGGAAGCAGCAGAAATCAAGCCCACAATTGGGCAGAAGTGTCACACGCGACGTAGTCCGGATCGCCAGCCGGTTGCGTCGACTTCCAAGGTGAAGCTTGACAGCGATTACATGCTTGCAATGCAGGCGCAAAAGGAGTGGGATCGTGAGCACGAACATGCCGTTCTCGCGCAACGTCAATATGAGTTGGAGGACGAACGCTTGACCGCGGAACGAAAGGCGCTAGAGAGGGACGCTCAAATGATCTTCAAATGCGCTGTCTGTCTGGAGCAATATCCTGAGGACTATGTCATTCGCGTGTCTGGGTGTATGCATCCGTTCTGTCGAGATTGTCTAAGACAGTTCGTCGCATCCAAGCTTGACAGCAAGCTGTATCCCATCTTCTGCCCGACTTGCAGTATGGATCCCAGTACCAACGAGCCCGAGGGTGAGAACATCTCCCTCGAAGCTCTCTGTGTTCTTCCTTACCGTATCCTGCTAGTCGTTTCTGATGATCTCATTCAAATGTTGGGGCTCGATGAAACTCAGTATCAGGCATTGCAAGAGCTTCACATTTCGGCCATGTCCATCCTCATTCATTGTCGCAAGTGAGTGATCGTCGCGGGCACGGAGGTGTGGGTCCACTAACCTACCACCCAAGATGCAAGGATTCCATCTTTGTGGACCGCACCGAATACAACGCTGCGAAACGCATCACGTGTCCTCTTCCCCGATGCAACCACACCTGGTGCAAAGGTTGTAACCAGTCGATCGCTCTAGGGGGAGCTGAGCATTCTTGTGACGGCGTGTCCGAGCTCGCCTATCTGATGAAGCGCCGAGGATGGAAACACTGCCCCGGCTGCCAGACTCCGTTCCAGAAATCCAGTGGCTGCAACCACATGACGGTAAGTAGAGCCTATCTTTATTTGCTGACAAGATTTTTACGGTCGTGTAGTGCTTGGCTCCCGGGTGCAACACACACTTTTGTTATGTTTGTGGCGGCTCGATCATCCGATCTGCTGCTGCCCAGCAGATCCGCGAGGCAGTTTCCCAGCACTATCGGCAGTGCAGGCTGTTCGAAGATGTTCCAGATATCTGATTTTCTATGTTTACCTATCAATCTCTTGGTTGTTGAGTGTGATACCATGCGTATAGATACGTAGGATCGACCGACAGATTAGATTGACAGTCGATGAGATACGATGAGAGTGACTGAGACAAGATGTGGATCGAATCGGTGAACACAATACAGATATCTGCAGGTCAGACATTTACAAAATACAAGTTCAAGATATCGCTATAGAAGGTCATCGTCAAGAATCCCTTCTTCGGTATCTTTCCAAATGTTCATTTTCTCGTCAGCCTCTGATCGCTCAAGTTCCTCCTGGATCCTGACGTCCATGACGGTGTCAATCCAAGCAATGGCCCATGCGCCGTTCCCGGACTTTGTTCCACCTAGCACAGCCTTCTCTGCGGAATCGGGCATAGCTTCCATCCGACTTCTTGTCGGTTGGGTGTCATTACGATCTGCGAGTCCAATACGATGAGACGAGGACGCGGTTCAGTCAACGACGGGGCTCACAATGGACGATGCTGGTATGGGGTTCATAGGTTCCAAGTGGAAGTTGTTCGGACGAGTCGGCTTCGGGGGCATCGTCGGTCTTGCGCTTGACTGCGTTCCCCGATCCATCGATGGGTTGGATTCCCTCTTTTCGCCATTTGGCCCATTCCGCATCAGCAGCCAAAGTCCTCGTCGCGGCCATCAGCATCCAGTTCTCTTCCGACACACCATCTCTAGACAAAAGACTTTTCCTCACAGCGTTGAGCGGACCATCGCTGTAGGGCCCCCAGCCACTCGATCCAAACAATGTCGTTGGACCACCTGCTCGATACACACCGACTGAAGTCCCTCCTCCGCGGTCCGTTTTGTTTGCAGCAGTGTTGGCACCCAGTCCGGCGTCGGCAGCATTGGCTGCATTCGCATTGGGATCAGGAAGTTCACCGACCGGATCCCCTGCTTGTAAGCCGCGAGCAGTGATTTCTTCCAACACGCGATCTTCGTAATAGTCGTCCACCACCCACCGGCCGTCTGAGTTCAAGATGAGCAAAAATATACCAGGAAACAGGGCATACTTACCAATGATAGTCTTGCTACCGTGCAACTTGAACGCACTCCGTGCAGTGACGAGAGTGACACTGCGCGTTCGAAGGTGAGTGCCAAGTTTCCCTTGCGAGATGAGGTAGTCCTTTTCAGGCTGAGTAGCATTCTGTTTCAGTGCGAGAGGATTGCGTCGAAAGTAATACAGGGAGTCACGAAAGCCAGATGTTCGAGCTGCGTCGATGGCGAGCATGTAGCGTCGTTCTGGATGCCTCCCTGGCAGTACGAAAGTAGCAGCCTTGAATTTACGGTCTGGACAAAAATGACATCTAGTTGAGAAGATAGGAAAAGCACAAGCGGACACACCTCCGAGTAGATTCCCCCATTGGTCAATCTTTTCGTCGCCCTTGGGGTCATTCTCTGTGATAAATTCGTCGCCTTCAATGATGTACGCCTTGCCCTGTATTGTACGGAAAGGCCTTCCACCTCCAATCGGCCCCTCTTCTCCTACCGCACCCATATCGACATCTGCACCACGCTCCGAGCCGTCCTCGTCAGACTCATCGTCGCGCTTGGGCAGTCGGATAGTAAAGCCAACGCCACCGGCTGCACGCGCCATTCCCCGGGCCCGCAAAGGCGGCCGTCCCCTTCCCCGTCCTCGCCCACGTGGCGTACTCGTTCCGGGCACCGCAGAGCCTACTGGCGCGTGCCCGAGTAATGCCTTCTTGCCGGAGCCGCGCGGTCGTCCCCGTCCTCGTTTCACAGGTGGCACCACTGCGGGCGCTTCTTCGGGAGTAGCGGTGGGAATTGGATCGTCGATTTCCATGGGCGTGGGCGCGTCCTCGGTCCCATCGTCGGCCTCCGCATCTGTGTCTCCTTCATGCGCGACGCTGTCAAGTTTTTCTTCCTCTTCTTCCTCTTCTTCACGAGCCAAGATCGTGCCCTGGACAGCGGCGGAGGACCTGGGCTTAATCACTATCTTCGGAAGCGCTGACATCGAGATCAGCCTGAGCGCGAGGTACACGAAGCGTCACGGTCATGGTCACGACTTCATCTTGACATGTGCAATTTGACTCTTGGGCCGGGCTGTATGCAGTCCATAGTTGCATCCCCAAACACCCTCAGTTTACTCCATGGGCTTGTGGACTTGTTTCCACCGCTCTCAAATGCTCAGATCCACACCTACCCGCGTGTATCCCGAATGCACCGGAGTACAGGAACGCCTGACAAGCTGACGTCGCCTATGCACCGGCGACCTTGAGTAAGGTACGAACAACCTGCAAAGTGTTGTCTACTCGCCATTTATAAGTATCTCCAATCCAGGAAAAGTCTACCTCGTCCTTTTCCCGATGTCCTTCACCAGACGGTCTGATCAGCGCACAATCACGATACCGAGCACTGTTGATGAGTTCACGGCACGGTACTCAGAAACCGGAACACAGAGCAACCTGAGTTTCTATGATGCTTTCATCCTCCCAGGTCAAGAGAAGCTGACCACCTCTGGGTCCGTCGTCAAAGCTCAAGCGCTACTTGCTTTCCGCGTGGTCCCGATGCTGGGTCTTCACCCGAGGGATGTTATACCAGCCTGGGAGAAGATACCCGTGTCTACTGGTGTGTCTGTCCGAACGCTCTGCTCCAGATCCGACCCCTGATGTTCAATAATAGATCCCGATTGTCGGGACATGTTAAACAAGCTGTGCGCAGCCAGCTCAATCGACTTGGGCTCTGTATCGCTGAGCAGAAACAACGCGGAGAACCCCGAATTGCACAATCTCATTCGTCTGATGCAGTTGGAGCGCGACGTACCCGATCCTTTCTTTCCTACGCCGCTCGACATCGACGGAGCCACGACGTTTGCGCGGAAATCCATGTCCCAGTTCATCACCAACCCTTTCCTGACAGTGTTTCTCTCCCTGCGAGATCTGCGCGCGCGGAGACTGGCGGAGCACTACGAGGATGTTCGTGACGGTGCCTCAGTCGCGACGAAGAGCGGCGTGACGGGCGAGAGCGACGAAGACAAGAACGAAGTGGCCAGCGAGGAATTGCTCCATCGTCTCATGGACATCGTGCTAGTATACTATTCGAGGAAGACAAAGGATCAAGACTGGTTGCGAAGGTGTGATTCAATGAAGCGCCTCAGGTATCATTTTGACGATGTGCCAGCACCGGGGCTCAACTACAGTTGAGCTGCTCTTTCACATGCTCGCCGAATGACCTAGAAGAATTCCGTCGAATACCCAAGCCTAAAGAAAACGGAAGGATGGAGGAAGAAGGCCCTCGTCAACGCAGCAACTCAAATCCAGACGACCTCGAGGTCTGTCAGCTTCGCAGTCTGCGCTCATGAATTCATTGTTGGGCAGTCGGAAGCAAATAAACAAGCGGTAAAGCAACTGGAACGGGACAAGAGAGCCAACCTGGACAAGGCCAGCACGAATCGTGTGTTGTCGGACTTGCGCGTCAGACCAGCCAGACTGAAGCTACTCAGAACAGACAGCCGAGCGGATCAAATTCACTGCCAAAGATGACGGTTACATGTATCTCGCTCGGGCTGGCAAGAAGTCGGGTGGCAATCGTTTCTCCAAGATCCCCGTGGTTCGATATGAGGTACACCTGCAGCCCGCAAGCCATTGCACTGCTCAACATCTCTTCCAGGCGAAACGATTAGTTCTTCCGGGACTTCCCATTTATGTGAGTTCGAGTTCTCCAAGATACATGCTCTCCATGTCTTTACTATCGACGATAGCGACAACGCGAAGCGCAGCTGACCAAAGAGCGGGAGTTTTTCAAGTCCGCAACCAGTCAGGCCATTGATGTGAATGAAGGAGAAGAGGTCGAGACCTTTGGGTATCTGTCCGAGCCCCCTCTGACAATGGTTCACAGATGACGGAGGAATTGCTCAAGCTGGTCGCTCAACAGTATGCAGAGATGCTAACGGGGATATACGTCAATCTTCACTATGCTGCCGACTACGACACCCGCGCGAGACTGGTTCCCTCAGAGAGTGAGGATTCCAAGAAGAAGTCAACAAGGAAGAGAAGAGTCTCAAGTCGATGCTCGACTCGAAGGGAAAGAAGGCTGCTGCGACGGCTGCTCCAGATCCAAACTTCTTTGCGGAGGAAGTTGACGACTGTGATGACCCTGATATGACGGGTCTGAAACCGAGATGTTGTCCACCAAACCTGTCGATAAGAAACAGGATAAAAAGAGACCAAGACCAAGATCAAGACCGAGACCGAGACCGAGACCGAGACCGAGACCGAGACCAAGAATAAGACCCAGGCGAAGACTAAGAAAGAAGCCAAGGGTAAAAAAGAGTCGAAAAAGCTGCCTTCAGCCAAATTTGATGGCAAGATCCATGTAAGATATTGCGCTTGCAGGTTATGTCGCGGACTGAAGCTCGGCTGCAGGAAATCAAAGTCTGGAGAAACCAGGAGGTAAGCCCACAATTTCGAGTGGGTAACTGTGCTGATTGTCTGCCTCAGGCCTTCACGATTCACCTTCGGCACACCTATATCAGTTTCAGTAGAGTCGAGTTGACCAAGGCGTACCTCCAGGACGTTGCCAAGGAAGCTGTGCTTGACAAAAAGCACCAGGTCGAGTATCTTCAAACGAAGGAGTTTGATTTGCTTTATGCGCATGACCGATACGAAGCTGGTCGAGCTCTCTGGGGTCTGATCGACTATCTCCACCAAGCAGAAGAAGATGAAAGGCCGATGATCGGTCGGTTGCAGACTGAGGCGAAACAACATTTCCGTGAGTGGGTTCTGCAGTCATTATGACATCCACCTGACGCATTGGACAGAGAAATACTTTCCTGTCGAACATCATGATGGACGTGAGGACGGAGATGAGCCAGATGGGGGTATGCGAGATGGAGGACCGAACGGCATACAACGTCTCGGAACAGGCTTCTCCAACGCCCTTCTACAAGCGTTTGCTGCGGCCATCCCGAATGACTCTGTCGACAAGCTGCTCGAGAGCTATAACACCACAGACTCGGTACCTGGTCTTTTTGTTGCGGCGCTCAAAAAGATCACGGGCAGCACCTCCAAGAAAGTCGCCATCAGATCGCTGGTTCTCGTATGTTTTGGGGGCTTTATGCAAAACTGAAGCGCGCTCTGATTTATTTTTCAGAAAGGGATGGGTTATGATGAAGCAGCAAAGATAGACGCGGCAGATTTCGTGCATCAACTTTTCGCCGCGTTTAATCACGAAGTCGTCCATCCCTTTGGCCACAAGGAACAGATGAATATCTTGAACTCTTTGTTCCAAATCCACATCGGTACTAGGACAGTGTGCGCCCGTTGCGGACTCGATCAGGTGAAGAACATCTTACACAGACCAAACGGCTTGTTAAGCTCTCCACAAATAGGAATTGAACCCCACGGGAACCCGCGTGCTCACATTGCAGCCATCACTAGAACCTCAGGTGGATCTAGCGACGGGTGCTCCAAGTCCGCAATCTGTAGAGGCGCTAGTGAAGAAATATTTGGAGAGACATCCCGAGTCCAATACGTCGTTCTGGTATGGCTGACTCGTTTGTCCTCGATCGGAAGAATGCTGAAAACGAGATAGGTGTCACCGACCCCACCATTGTTTCGCCCAAGCCCAGGAGATGTTCAAGCTGAACGGATCCCCAGGACCAGAACTACTACTTGTGCAGATCTCTCGGAGTCTGACGATCGATGCCCGACGCAACCAGTATCAGAATGGTCTCCCGCTCGAACAATTGAAACAAGTGCGGCGCGTCCATGAGAAAGTGGCCGCAAAGCTGGCTGTCGCCGACTCGGAGCTGGCGCAGTTCGAAACGGACGCTCGCTCAGAACTGGAGGCTCTCTCGCAAAAAAAACAGCAGGGAGACCAATTCCTGCCGCTTCCCATGAAAGTTATCTCCCCCTTTGAAGAGAAACGGAAAGCGTTGGCAGTTAAACTCAATACCGTCGGCGAGGATGTCATTCGCCGGGAACAGATGTTCTTGTCGGTCAAGCCACAAGCACCGCTGGACCTCTTCGACGAGCTGCTAGGCGCGAAGCCTCTCAGATTGATCATGGCCGACACGTCCACCAAAGCGCAAAGCCGGGTTTTCTATGATCTGTATGCGATAGTTTCTCATCGCGGAGAGACAGTCCAGTCTGGAAACTGTGCGTTGCCGTTTATCTGTTCCGATTGCCACTCTAATGACCACGGCAAACAAACAGACTGGGCTTACACGCTTTACGAGGATAAGTGGTACAAGTGCGTCAACGAGACCGTGACGGAGATGTCCAACGAGCAGATGGTGCGTGCTTTAGCTCTGTTAACAGAACGAGACTTGACGTCGGGTGCGAAGGTCTCCGAGCTGGAGGTCGCCTGTATCCCCTATCAAATTGGCGAGGAAACCAAGCACCACTGGGAAGAGAAAGAGAGCGGCGTGCCTTACCTTTTGTTTTATCGCCGCAGCCTCGATCAGACACAGGATGACAGGACGGAACTCTTCGAGACGCTCGGATCTCTGGGAGACGACGATCTTCCAGAGGAGCCCCACTCTTCACATTCTCTGCACGAGGAGGAAACTGCAACACCGACAGAATATGCACCTACACGCTCCGATTACGAGGACAGTCAGGGAGGCCGGTCCGGGTATAGTGACGGGGATTCCATGCTCACGGAATGATGTGCAGACTGAACTTGATCCAGGGCTGCCATGTGGAGGAACACACAGGGAGAAACGCCTGAGAATAAATGACAGTCTGTTTTGAGACACATATTCATTACGTAGATCGGTCAAAGCGAGATTACTTATGTAAGCCCATTCAGCCCGGGCTTGACCTTTTTGACATAAATGAGGTTGTGTACCACAAGATCAACCGCGTCTATCCGAAAAGAGAGAGGTCTCTCTGCTTGCCGCCAGGCAACTCTCAGTGGGGCGTACTCCCAACTGTCAAAACCTGCCGGATCCATCAAAGTCTCTTGAACCACATTCATGAGGCCAAGAACCTGAGGCAACGAACCTGATATGATGAATCTGCATGTCAGAGACTTACACGCAATCATCGGCGGAACATGCGAGCCGTCTCCTCCAAGCCGGCACGGGTTCAGGTATCAAGTTTAACCTTTGGTGCATGCGCTGTGCCGCTGCCTGTGGTTTCCCGCTCAACCATGTCTGCCCCTGGAGAGGTTCTCAGTTTGGTTCCTCCCCGCTCCGAATGGCGGTCCAGACGGGGAAAAGCCCGCACTGTCCGGATGAAGGTGCTAGCACTCGGATATCCGCGCACTGGAACATCTTGTGCGTTAACTTGTGCTCACGGACTCGATCTCGCTAGATGGCATTAATCCTCACAGCTCTGCGCAAGGCGCTCAAAATTCTCGGCTACGACGAGGTCTACCACATGGAGTCGGTATTTGAGAATCCCCACGACGCGGATCTCTGGAAGGAAGTGTACCAGACAAAATACGAGCAGGGGAAGCTGGTTTCGAGAGAGAAATTCGATGAGATCCTTGGTCACTGTGAGGTTCGTTCATCTTACAGACCTAGCTACTGCGATCTGCCTCGCTAACGAAATCTGGCATCGGAAAGGCGACCACCGACGCCCCTCCCATGATGTATGCCGAGGACCTGATCGCCGCCTATCCGGACGCAAAAGTCATCCTCACTCTACGTGACCCGACAAAGTGGTGGAAATCTTTCCTCTCGACCGTTGCAAGGGTGCCTCAAAACCGCACATTGGGCCTCGCCATGAAGCTTGATTATTCCGGTGTCCGGCACCTTGGGGGAATGGCGAAACAGATGGGTCTGCAACTGTGCGGACCGGAAGCGACGGCCCAAGGCGCCCAGGCCCGTTTTGTTGCGCACTACGACCACGTCCGCGCGTTGGTGCCTAGAGAGAGGCTTCTCGAGTTCGATGTCAAGGACGGATGGGAATCGCTGTGCCCGTTCCTTGGTGTGCCGATCCCCGATTGCGAGTATCCGTACTCGAACGACAGCGCGATCTTCAATCAGAGGATCACCGCGACAGGCCGAGCTGCCCTCTGGCGTGTTGCCGGGGATCTCGTCGTTCCCGTGTTAGGATTGCTGGCTGTCGGCCTGGCTGCATATTTCAGCTCGGCAAAGTTTTAGTTGCTAGAAGGCAACATTCATGATTTGTGTCCTTGTACATTCGTGGCGACAATTGGGTACGCTTCGATAAGTAATCTCAGGCTAACAGCTTGTATCAATACGCAGCGATTTCTGACCAATGCTGCTCTAGGATCGAGCCGCCTGTTTGAGAATCCAGACTGGTGAGGGCTTTGATAATGAGTAACGATATATATGGGTACTTCATATTGGCCGATACCGCAGCAGAAATCAATGATCTTGGGCTTCAGGAGCGCGTTTCTGGCTTAGGATATCCAGATTTTGCCAGATTTTGATTTTCACCTATTCCACAGCTGCACGGAATTGACAAGGGATATTTGCAGCTTGATTGATCGGCTATTTTCCTAATTTTTGAGCTTGAGTACTCGAGCTGAATTCTATACAATCTTTCGCTGCTCCCAGGGCTTTTCTAAGACTATCATAATCAAAGGAAACGAAGACCGAGATTGGGCACTTGAAGGGTCGAAGTTTCTGAACAGGTGTCGAATCTGTCGATTATTGGAACTTAGACCCGCGGAACCAAATTGATCGACCGCTGCTTCTTGATCCATTGTCCCATGAGTCATGACATAACCGCCGAGTTCTCCTGACTATACTGTCCAAACCTGCTCCCTCGCTGTGCGCACTTCACCGAGACATGCTTCTTTCCAGACAACACGAATCTCTAGCAATCCGCCAACTTCGTTGGTCTCATCTCCGAAGACTGCAGAACTGTGGCCCTGATCAATCTATGTCGCTCCCACTCAGTTGCTCCCCAAGTGACCGAACAAAAACAAGAAGCGGGTAGCTTTGCGACAGTTGTCTCACTATGTGTCGGATGGGCTGAACACTGCCAAGCTTAGGACAACAGCGGAGGATGTCTCAGCTGCGAGTGCGGATGTAAAATGTCTCGCCTCCTATCTCCCGGTTTCTACATATAAGGGGGGCGCAGGCGACCGAGAGCGCCTATCCATTGCTTTAACTGTTTAACACAAACCATCACTACCCACCATCTACTCTGCATCAGTGAGTCCTTCTCTCGCTCTCTGAACGCATCGTTCTCATCTGCTTCTAGCATTACCATGTCGCACATTACCACTTATGATCTCCCCGAGTCCATCGCTCCGTCCTCCTCGACCTCGAGTGTCTCATCCGACTGCTCGTCGAGCAGCACAAGCACCCTTCGAGACCGTCGAGGGGTGTCGCTGTGGATATCGTTCTCCGCCGTCTTCCCCGTCGCTCCCAAACCCAAGGGAGCGCTCGGCCCGACCGTGAACAACATCCCCCGGCGGCGAAAGCGCAGTAGTGTCGTTTCCATCGACTCGCGGCCCGTGTCTGACAACTCATCATCTCTTGACCGGGTCGGCTACTTTGCGTGAGGGGTCGGGTCGATGGGGGGACGGATATGGAGTTGTATGCGGTCGTGTACTGGGCACCAGGTAAGCCATCTATCCGGTCGATGTCACAAACCCTGAGATTAGTCTATAGCCCTCCACGACATCAGGCTATGACTAGGTGCCAACTTGCGTTGACGCTTCTTCATTCCAACATATCCAATGGGATTTTGGAAAGCTCAGACTGGGAAGCCGCTGCGCGTCCCAAAATAGAGTGCTTGTGAAGGATGTATTCGTATACTCCTTGTTACGCAGCGCTTCGTGGCTCATGCACAAATGTTGCTCGAATCAAAACACCATAAATACGAACGGCCTTATTTTAAGAAATTACCCTGTTCTCGTTCTCTCACATATGAATCGGGATAAACCGCGTAGGGTCCCATTACTGTTTAGGTAGAATCAAAAGCATTGCGCCGCACGCTGAGACTTTGAGTCGCTGTATGATAACGGAGACATCTGAGACATCCGTTTATGCTCCAAAGTATCCGCTCCCCACGTAATGCCATCCCCAGCACTGCTATCATCGCACATACTCCAGATCAAGACCAACGAAAACGGGGAGAGAGGATATTGTGCAAGGACTTGCCCCTGCACTTGGCTCGAGGTCCAAGTGAAGTCAAGGCAGATTATTGTGCTGATCTCTGAATGTGCAGGCGTCGAGGTCTGAGGTCGGCAGTTGATTCATCTCGCGTCACTACGAGCCCTGTATTCTGCGGGGTATTAGCATCGACAAGCGTTGGCGCGCTTCGCGAACACGTGAGGGCGTTTCCGCTTATTGGCGGGCCGGGGGGACTACTAGTCTCGAGTTTTCGGGATAATCGGTAATATTATCGGCATTTTGGCATTGGTTCGGTTACCGTAATTCGCTCTAGGTGTGTTGAGAAACTTACTTGACTTGACTATAGCTAGTATCTATAAACTCGATTCGAGTTTGAACGTTTGAACGGCGAGTTTGGATTATGTAAGTCATTCTCTTCGATCAACAATCCCACTACATATTCAATTATCTCATCAGCCCTCAGCTCACTGCGCGAGTTCGTAGCCCCATCTGGGGAATGATCTCACGACGTAGAGCTTTACAGAATGTCATTTCTGAGTGCATTCTTCATGTTCGGCGGCTGGCTTGAAGCGCATTTGTCTGACATCGCGTACGGACCGGCGAAAGGTACGAACAATGTTTGGCCTGTCGGCTTTGTACTTATAGGCACGCCAGTGGTGAGCATTCTCCTCTCACCTCCCCTACCGACGCGATGAATATTGAAGATACTAAATCAGCCACTGGAGGCGCGGCGACATCCAACATCGAGGAGGAGAAGACTCTCCCACCTGCGTCCTCAGCCGAGGTGAAAAGAGGGAGAGGGAGACCTCCGAAGGCGACTATCGTGTCCGGTGAACAGATCGACGTGCCTAGCACCACCCAGGGGTTCCGCAACTGGTACAACGACAAAGATCATCCTCATTATGTCAGTTTCTACGACGGTCTGGATATCAAAGGGAAGGTGTTGGGAACGAGTGGGTCCACCATAGATGTCCGCGCTTTACTCGCGTTCCGTGTCGTCCCCCGGTTGGGTTTGGAGCCAAAGGATGTGATTCCCGGCTGGGACAAGGTCAATGCGACTCCAGGTGCGTCTATGGCGAACGCTTGCATGCATCGGCGAAAGGCTGAGTCCCGCCCCCAGATTGCTCAGAGATGCTCCTCAATCTGGTGGCTGCTAGCTCTACAGATTTGGGCTCAGTCTCGTTGACCAAGCATACTGAGGGTGTGCAGCCCGAGCTGGTGGCCATGCTTCGCTTGATGCAGCTGGACCGGGACGATCCACATTATCTTCTCGACAATATCGACGGTGCCACAACGGTTATGCGCAAACCGATGTCCGACTTTCTATCGAACCCCTTCGTGTCCGTTTTTACCGCCCTGCGCGATCTCCGTACCCGACGCCTGGCTGAAAACTACGAGCACGTTTTGGACGGCGTCTCCTGGGACAATGGGAAGAGCTTGTCAAATGAATCAGAAGAAGATAAGGGCGAACGCGCCAGTCAGGAGCTGCTCTTCCGGTTGATGGATGTCATCCTCCAGTTCTTTTCGAGACAAAAGCAGGGTGCAGATTGGCTGCGCAGGTAAAATTTTCACTACAGATGACAATTCCTTTTACTGATTGCTGTTACTGTAGCACTGGAGCAGAGCTCAAGCTCGGGTCCTCTTTTGCATGCTCCCCAGGCGACTATAAGAGATTTTTGAAACGCAAAGCGGAGGAGGAAGAAAGGGAGCGGAAGCGTAAGGAGAAGGCACGCAGGAACTCAAATCCTGTCGACATCACTGTCAGTTTGTCCCTCCCGGCATTTTTATCTTAGATCTGAACGATCTTTCTTACCAGGCGGAACGGAATAGGCTGACAGCGGAACTCGAGGAGGAAGACGTTGCAGATCCGTTGGATCACGTTTCAGATATCGAAGAGGAGGGGGAGGATCCCGGCAGTAAGTCTCAGAACTCGTCATCGATCAGTCGTAATGTCTTCTCAGGTAGCAAACGTATTCATTTTTCCTCGACCGACGACGGGTACATGTATCTTGGTCGTGCCGGTAAAACTTCTGGCAGTAATCGATTCTCGAAGATCCCCGTCGTTCGCTATGAGGTATGTCTCTGATTCGAATGTCGGAATCCTACTGAAGTTGTGTAGGCGAAACGCCTCAAGGCGATGAATGTTCAGGTACCTGGCGCGGATTTTGTTTTCCCTCGCTAGCCATTCACTGTCAGCAGAAAAATCGACCGAAACAACTCAAGAAGGAACGAGCCTTTTTCAAACGTCAATACGCTGTCGATCGGTCCGGCAGCGCAGATGACCCACAATTCATGGGGACCGATCAGCCTGAGGCGGTTTTGGAGACGGTCAGCAGCTCTGTATTCGAAAAATCTCAACCGACGCTCAACTTGACTACAGAATCACATCTCTCGTGCTGCGCTCAAAGTCATTTCGCAACAGTTCGCTGAGATGCTCACTGGGATCTACGTCAACTTACACTACCGCAACGACTACGAACGCCGTGAGAAGGAGCGCGACAAATTGGAGAAGGCTCTCTTCGATGCGCTTCCTGATGCTGAAAAACGGAAGATGGCTGCAGATCTCGCGAAAACGATGTCGGCCGCGGGCCAAGAGAAAGCTTGGCTGTACCGTCAGGAATTATCTCGTGATGCGCATCTGGCACACGGAAACGATGTCGTCACCCCGAGAAACGTCGATTTTCTGGAGAAAGAGGGACTAGACTGTGAGGATGCCGACACGGCTCAGGCTCAAGACGAGCCTAGTGGCGAGATGGAGATTGAGACTAGGAAAAATTCGAGGCCACGAGTGCCACTATCGAAGCCCTACAATGCGAAGCGGATCGGGGTACGACCTTTTCTCTTCTAAGTATTGTAACGTGGAGCTGACTATTTTGAAGGAGATCGGGGAGTGGCAGCATCAGCAAGTAAGTGTCTCTGAAATCGTTCACCTGATATATTCACCGTTGCTTCAGGGATTCACTATCCACATTCGCCACACATATATCAGCTTCAGCAGGATCGATGTCACCGCTGACTACTTGGAGAAAGCAGCAACACTGGAATGTCTCAAAGAAGGATCAGTCGAATTCAAACAAACGAGGGAATTTGATCTTCTGTATGCTCATGACCGATATGAAGCTGGAAGAGCGATATGGGCATTGCTTAGCTTCCTGCACGGCGAGGGAGAGGAAAAACCAGCGATTGGTCGGTTGCAAACTGCTGCGAAACGCAACTTTGGTGAGTCAAAGCACAATTCCATTCAGGCTGAGAGGATGGAATTCTGAGTTTCGCTTTGAGGCACGTACTTCCCTCTGATGCATATGGATGGAAAGCCTGGCGACCCAGGACTCGACTTGAAGGGCAGTGGATCGAACGGGAGTAACCTTGAGCGCATAGACGACCCAGATCACGTGGCGAACGCAACAGACCCCGGTCCAAACAAGCTGATCAATGTCGGCAATACCTGCTATGCTAATGCGTTGATCCAATCGCTTGCAGCCACCATCACGCCCGAGCAGCTTGATGAACTCGAGAAACTTGTCGCAGACAATTATGAAGCGACCTGGGCTCCAACTAAATTTGTTCAAGCGCTTAAGGATGTCAATGGACCTCCCAAGACGGGACTATCGCTGGAGCATCTTGTTTGGACCCAAGAAGAGCTACAGAAAGTAAGTTCTCTCATTTTTTCGCTTTGTATCTCTTGTCTTACTCCTACGAAGATCAAAACAGAGGAGGCCGGCGAGCGGAAAACAGAAGCGGCCAGAAAGCTCAACGGGTTGCCACCTGCGACTATCAGTGAACCAGAGCGCAAATGGAGAGAGACCCGCACTCGCACTCGCGAAAAATTGCGAAAAGAAACGTTGGACTTGGAACGTGGGAAACAAGAGGACCCGTTGCAGATGCTGGATGTGCTTCTAGGGACGGCCTTCGATGTACCAGGGGCTGAGATGAAGCTGCTGCAACTCGATATCAAGGAGGTTTTCACCTGCACTGGTGGTACATGTTCGGGCCAGGTCAGTGCGTATCGGGAGACATACCTCAGTTGCTCACCGAAGCATACAACAGAAAGGAAAGGTTGATCCAGATTATGTGCTGCGACTACATCTCGACTTGGTCGAAAAGCCGTTGGAGGAACTCGTGAAAGCTGCATTCGCCGCTCGGCCGCTGGAGTTGCTCAGGTGTGTTCTCCCGCTCGTGATGTCGCCTGTCCTCGCCAACTCAGGTCGCCAGTTATGCATGTCCTATGCCCTCAAGGTGCTACACTGGTGTGACAGTACAACGCGAAATCACAAAGCATCCTGGTCCGCCGATTCTAGCCGTCCATCTCAATCGGGCGCTCAATATACATTACGGCAACAACCAAATCACGGATGGGGTTCCCCTTGCTATCTTGCGGCAGATCGTGGCCGACCGAACTGAGTTGGCCGCTGGACTTGCACAGGGCGAGCATGAACTCGTACAATTGAGGAACAATCTGCGACCGAAGATGAAGGTACAATACGAGAAGGATAAAGCCGCGGCCGCCTTCTTTGGGGCGGATCTCTCTAAGCTTGATGATTCTAAAGAGATGAAAGATTTGCAAAAAGAGTACGCAGATGCCAAATCTCGCACGGTAGATGCTTTGCGGAATTCCAAGCCTCAAACTCCCCGGAAGACACATGCTCCGGTCAACCTCTTCAATGCTGACGGGACGACCGAGACCCTGGTATTGCCCATAACGTCTGCCACAGGAAACAGACGAGGCGACGTCTCGTACGAACTGTACGCGGTGGTCTGCCATCGGGGAACGACGGTTGATAGCGGACATTGTGCGCCATGTGCTCGTGTCTTCCGACTATTTGCTCACCCGTTTTGGGGCA